AAAATTTAGAGAGCTAAATCCAAGTCTAAGACTTGTATGTTTTATTTGGTGTTTCCTATTTTCAAAATTGTGCAGGTGTTTTATCTTTCCCGAACGTTATGTATGCTTTATATTAAGAGGGGATTATATTTCTTGCATGTATTATGTACAATATTATTATAGTTGCATTTTCTGCGGATATCATTTACTTGATTACAGTGATCGTACATTTATATAATGTGCAAAATATCCTTCTAGACACGGTGTTCCTGTTGTAATTTATTAAATCTCATACATAGTTCATTTCCATGTTTATCATAAATTAAACATGCACAATGTATGACATTAAAATATGATAAATACGCTTGTTATATCTTCAGCGTTGAATTTAAAACACACTTTTCTGACACGTACGTTTCATTATTGAAAAAATCACACGTTGTGCTGTTTACAATAATTATTATGATGTCCATACATGCAAATTATTTTTGATTCTACATAGGTTAGTGTCGTTAGATGTACAAAAAATTAATAACGCATTGAATCAAGCACTATATTTTCTATTTTTTAAGTAATGTTAGTATTTCTTAGACAACCAAAGAAGTTTTGTGAATAAATAACTTGTTTAAATAAATAATACCAAAACAAAACGAACATAATAAGTTTTATACGAGAATGAACCTTGACGAGGTCAACTGAATTCTTTGTCCATTGATAGGTCACAATAAGGATATTCACCATACATTAAGAACTGGTTGGTAATGGGACCGAATCCGGTATCAACTGAAGTATCAAGAACTGGGATGGCGGTTCGGCTCAGTTTCCGGTTTGGAAAATAACGTGAACAATGTTAATGTATCCTAAAGCATAAAAGCGACAGATTGATAAACGACGACTTAAAATTTCTACATTTACTTCAAACCATGTTCATTGTACACACATGTCTATGTACTACATCATCTAATGTGAACATTTTTATTTTCTTAATTTTCATGATTTTTTACCGCTTTCAACTTTTGATATATCATACAGAAGTAATCCTCTGGTACTGAAAACATTATCATGAGGCTATTGCGTGCAATTGATACAATCTAAAAACTAAGGTCATCGAAAAACTTTGATGTCTTGACTTTTAAATTTTATTTCATGACACTAAGATGATGCAAAAGATCAGTACAAAACATGGCAGTTCATCAAGTTTAATTTATTTTAACTTCTTTCGTTGACAATGGAAAAACAGATCCACAGGAAAAACAATTAATTTTAATAATGTCGGTCTTAATGTTAGCATTCTTCAGGCAAAACAGTGTTTCAAGAAAGCAATTCATAGAGTGGAAGACGCTAAACCATTACTTCAGGATAGCAATACATTAATGAAAGATGATGAAACGCATGGTGTCCCGTTAGCACCATCGTAGCACACAAATAAATATAAACGGTGAAAAGTCGAAATAACGAAACTACGACGGTTAAAAAGCCGAAGGTACGACAATGAAAAGTCGAAAACACGTTGATAAAATTAGAAGAAAAACAACTTGTCACCATCATACTTTCGATCTTTCACCATCGTGGTTTCGTTATTTCGAATTTTAACCATCGTACTTTGACATTTTTTCATCGTATTTTCGACTTTCACCATCTCGGTTCCGTTATTTTGACTTTCCACCGTCGTACTTTCGACTTATATCATCGTAGTTTAGACTTTTCATCATCGTAGTTTTATAAAAGGAGTTTCCGTGTCGCAGGTGCAACCTTACACGAATCGCGCAAGAAAAAGCTGAATGAACATTAAATCTAAAAAAAGAGCGATTCACGAAAACGAAAGAGGGGAAACCGTTCAGTCTAGAACACCAGGTACTAATTGGTCTACAATGGGCACATTTTCCATAAGTGTTTCAAATATTGATAAATTTATTCCAAATTTATCATTTGGATATTCTCATAAACTGTTGCTTGATAAATGTTAAAATATGAATAATAATATTTTGTTCTAAAACATTTTATGATCTTCTATATGAATATGAAAATATGAATATATGTTCGGATCATGTACCTAACCTTATCAAAAAAGATCCATAAAGAACGTGTTTTTCAGTCGAACTCAGATAGATATGTGTTAATCATTTTCATATTGGTACAAAAGTCCGACTTATTTTAATTTGTCACAAGAAAAGCATTGATGCAAAGCATCAAAGGGCGTCCGAGCAAGAAATGCAGCAAGTGAAGATGAACTAGTAGACATCTGATGACCAGATATTTTTATAATCTTTTCAATGGTTAATTGGTTTTAACCAGTATTGTAAATTATTTATGAATGGGCGGACGTAAGACATTGTTCATCATGAACTTTGGTAGGCATGCTAGAGATTTGAATATTAAATGTTTTTCCACAGGAACTTTAATTCTATTAATGTTAACGATAATATCCAAAATATACAAGTCTATAATATCCAAGATATACCCCCTATATGGTATAAGTTTATTTATACTATATAGGGTATTTTTGGATATTATCATTAATATTGGTTATTTGATAGAATTTCAAGTTCATGTGGTATTTTCTTTGGAACATACAACATAATAATAGTCAAAATGAACAAAGTCTGTTAATTGATTTATTTGGGAGGTCAATCTACTACTTTAATGACCTAGTCTGACCTACATGCCTATCAATAAACCCATAACAACTCATGTTAAAATTGCAGACGAAGAATGATTATACTATGATAAAACAATTCGTAAAAATTGCCTACTTAAAGATTGGAATTAATTGTTATAATATGTTTGCATTTCATTTACTACAGAATTCTCCAGTTCGTTGCGACACGAATACTAAAACTACTTCTATAAATAGATTTTTGGACTTTCACAATATTCATGTCATCATTCTATTGGTAAAGCAATAACACACATAATAACCCACTGTGTACTACAAAATGATTAATAAAAATACCGAAGAGCGGGATTAATTGACGGATAAGATAATTTCATTTGAATATGTTTACATTGCGAAATTATCCAGTTCGCTATTCATTTTACATATCGCAACATTTCATTTTTTTTTATAATCAAACACTCATACCAATCGGAATGTTCGGCTATTATGGACGACGAAAAGGCTCCAGAAGTTGCAATTGCCCTTTCTCATTCCATAAGGGCGTCGCACTTCGGTGCGGACGCCAATAAATAAGATGTATTTAAAACATTTAGTAACATGTCTACATTTCCGTTTACACCTTATGATTTCAAGATATACATTTGCATATAAAACTGGATAACTGACGAATTAATATATCAAACACCTGTTTATAAATGGCCCGCGTATGTCAAAAAGCGCTAATTGCGCGATTCGTCACGGAAACGGACATGGATGACAAACGCGCATTTTGTAAATAGTGACTTTTACCATTCACGGAAACGTATCACAAAGTAGTGCATATATGACAAACCTTCTTAAATTATTCCAGTGTAGTATCAATTTCATTGTTATTTCCTTGTTAATAATATGATGTTTTATATCCTAAAGATTAGAATAACTGTCAAGTTTGGCGAAAAGCCGGGCAGTTCGGCAGTTGTGGTAGCGATTTCATGGTGGTTAAATATATTCCATGCATTAACGTTTATACAAACGGTAATAAAGTGACAACTTTAATGTAATAGATTGCAAAGATCAAATAAATGCTTGAATGATACTTTTACAGAAAAAAGTACAAATGTATACAGTGTATTTCTATGTAGTGGACTGGACAAGAAAAGTATATTACCAAAAAAGTGAGACATTCTACAGATTGTAGGAGGCAACATGGTTCAATTAAATACTCGCATTTAGAATTAACACTAGAAACAGAATCACTTACCCGGGTAGTTTTATCTTGGGCAAAAACAAAAACACCACTGATTCGTTTCAAGACAAAATGAAAAATAAACTGTGACTTTCTTTATAGAAAAGACGTACATTTTCATTAATCATATACAGTGTATATATGAAAGGACAGTGTTGTTTCTGCTATTGGATAACATATGGCCCTTTTAATATGCTTATTTTCTTTTTTTCAGGTTGCCGTAAGCAAGAGAAATGTTAAAAATCGAAACGTTCACACAATTAATATTTACAGTATTCAATCAAACTAAAAATACTGAGGAGCAAGCATCACTTAAAACTTTGAAAACTAACATTTTATAAATAACACATGGGTTTGTGGGTAACAGTAAAAATATCATCCCGTAGCCGAGGGTAACAGTATTTATACGAGGTATGATATTTTTACTGTTACCCACAAACCCATGTGTTATTTATTTTGTTACCCCGAACAAATACTGTGATGATCTGAAATTGTCAACTAAATCTAACTGTAACAAAAATAAGCCAAGAGAAGCAATAACTAAACTGTCCTTACCTTGCAAGTTTTAAGTGCACTGTAGGCCTACTTGAGAAGCTGTTTTTCTTTTATTCTTTAGGCAAGTGATGATATCTACCAGTCATAAACATAAAATAAGCTGTGTTTTATTCAGAAAACAAAACACTAACCCATTTATAAGGTTATGATCTGTGAAATCTGATCCTTCTGCATCCAGAATATTCTTCGCATGGTTTTTGACAAAGTGCATTTAGAAAATAACGATGATATCCTACAGATGTCTGTCGACCAACTCTATCTGTAACGTTTCACTGGTTAAAATTGTTTAATTATCCTTTGTTGCATGCTTTAATTGTCTGCATGTTCCAGTTTGACACAAAATTATTTACATTACAATGTTTCCTGTTGACTATTCAACAAAAAGATATTTAATACGCGAAAGGGACTCTAGGGTGCAAAGAACTAAATTTTATCAGAGTAATAGTTACTTCGGCGATGCCCTATCGTCGAAAATAAGAATTAATCGAGAAAAAAATGGCGGCCATTTTATTTCATTTTATTTAGAAAATAGACCACGTGACCAGATTTTATACTGTTAAAAAATACTGTTACCTATGTAACAGTACAAAATTCGTAGTCACGTGGTACACTTGTATTAAGGACAACGTAATTTTCACAATAACTGAATAATAAAAAACGCCTCTTTGTCAAATTATGTATTTAAACTATCAAATGTAGCAAAGAAATGTTTAAACAATTACAAGCAAATGTACTTTATGTGACCAATGACCACATATTCTAGCTAAATGATTATAAAATAAAGCATAATGACACATAAAGGCATACTGTACATATGCCTTATACTTGAGACACTTTAAAACAATACACATTTGTTATTTCTTATTCTAACACGACCCGCATTTTTCACTATTGAACATAGAAGAACCGAAAGTGTGTGTTATGCTATAAAATCACTGTTTGACGTTCTATATTTAGACATGTGACGTAATCATTATACACGTGACGTAACCACTAAAAATGTGACGCGCTGACAATAAGTAGGCTACGGACACAAATCAGGTGCAATTTAGCTAATTATCATGTATGGGCAGCATTTATTTGTTGATGTCGTGTTAGAATCGAAATAATATATCCAAATCGGTGATTTTATTGCTTGATAACATCACTGTTTGTCGTTCGGATGCGCATCATTATATCACTCGAGCTACGCCCTCGTGATATAATTCCCCGCATCCGAACTCCAAACAGTGATGTTATTGAGCAATAAAATCACAGTTTGAGATATATTATTTCTTAAATATAATAAGTTGTAAAGTAAACATATAAACACACTGAAACGTCATCTTTTAGCTTGAAAAGGTACAAACATGACAGTAGCAACGCAAAATTAAACGAATGATTAAAAAAACGCCCTCATGCTTCCTTTGTACTTCCTCCGTCAAGAATAATCTATGTGAACACTGCTAACAAAAGCATATACTGGTGTTCTAAACAATAAAACAGCCAAGTAAACAATATACAGTATGCAATCCTTGCCAACAATATACAAGTCTCGACAACAATATACAGTAGAGAGAAACAGAATACCTAAAGAACGCCCAAAATGACAACATTGAAAATATTGCAGGCTCGGTTTGATTCAGTCTGTTCATGAACGGTACTGGACAATTCATGCAAGTTACCTTCCGAGCCCCCTAGCTCCGGCTTAAGCCGAATTCAACATTTAAACATAAAAAGGTGTAATTTGAATTTAGAAACATCTGTAGCCTCGGGTAACAGCATTTTCCTCGGGATGATATTTTTACTGTTACCCACAAACCCATGTGTTATTTATATAATGTCGATACGTAGACGGGCTGCAAAAACAAAACTGATTCAAATGTGTAATCAACAATATTGCAGAGTAACTTTTAACAATTGTAAGAGAAATAATTATATCATAAGCGAGAAATATGCCATTTAGAACAAAGCGCAACAATTAGCGTTGATGTAAGTTTATAAATTTACGGAATCATTACAAAATTGAAACGTAGCAAAAAATAATTCGGCAGAACTAAGACAGTTCCCGATTTCTACAATATTTACACCCCTTGCCAAAAAGGCAGCCATTTTAATGGTGAATATTCCTTATTATTACATATTATGGAAAAAATAAACAGCTGATTTAGGTGAAATGACAGATATGGATTTTATCACACGGATAAAATAATAAAACACAGTATCTCAATAGTAAGCTCAAAATCAACAAAACTGATCAACAATAAGTCTTCTAAAAGATATAAAAGTCTGTAAACAATAAACAAGTTATTGAACAATATACAAGTAATAAACAATATACGAGGCTTGTTAACAAGTAGATGTCTTTTATGGTTGTGATGGTTTCTTTCCACCAACAGAAGTATTTATTTGCTCAGTATGCTTGATCTGCGGAGAAAGTTGATCATCCGTCTTATTTTGTTTTGTTATGATTTCTATTTTTACTGCCGACACATTTTTAACGAATTTTTCAGAGCGGAATATGTTCATAAGTTGCATAATTGGACTAAGTATCTCGGACTGTGTACTCTTCCGTGTTTCTGAATTTTGACTAGCACCAACTCTCTTAGAAGGTTTGTTTGGGTTGGTGTTCCTTCCTAAATTAGTCGCTGACTTTTCTCCATTAACTGCAGTTTCAACTGTTTTTGAAAAGACTACTTTATTTTCAAGATGCGTTTGTTTTTGAATGTCCTTTGTAGCAAAAGCTGTATTTGCATTTTTATTTGCAACATTCTTTTCTGTGTTCGTCTCTTGACCCTTGGAACCAGAGGAAGTGGTCGACATTTTTAAAACATTGTCTTTTATAGCGGTTTTATTTCGACGAGCAAAGTCTGAATTAGATGTTTCAATGGTGATTTTGATTTCGGAATTGTCTAAAAGAGGACTTACTTCCACTTCAGCCACAGTGTTCTTAAGTAAACTGATGGATCCAGTATCTTCCGTAACTGTATTTGAGTTTCTGTCTACTATATCAACAGAAGAAACGATCGATAAAGGAGATCTGTTTTTAACAGTTTCATTCAATAATGCTTTACTTTTTGTTGTCTTTTTAGAAGAACTTTTCAAACTAGCTTTTCTGTCGTAGATTTTGGGGTTTACTTTCTTCTCTTTGCTATCCATGTGTTCAATTTTTATTCCAGACATTTTTATTTTATTTGTTTTTAAAGAGTCACGTGCACCAGATGTAAGCATTTCGGGTGCTCTTCCCAGTTGTTTCTGTTCAATTGATGTCGACGATATGGTTACAACATCAGTTTGCTCTTTTACAACAGATGGTTTTCCATTGTATATTTCACTTCGCTTCGCGCTAAAATCAACTGCACTATGTTCCGTAGGTACATGAGACTCCGGTCCTTTTATGTAACTTCCATCAGATGGCATCTTAGAAATCGTTTCAATATTTCCAATGCTACTTGTCGGCTGCTTATTCCCCTTGTCTTTATGAACAGAACTTTTAATTCCATCGCCAACGTAGTTTGCCTTTCCATTAAACTTTTTCCCTTGGTTTTTGATGTTATCATTAGCATTATTCTGTGTGTTACTATTGTCTGATGTATCATATTTGGTATTAAGAAAATTTGGATTGATATCCCCATTTGCAAGCACTTTATCCTTAGGTTTGCTTGTTGTTGTAATTGGCACAGGGTCTTTTGATTTTGCAGAAGACGATTTTTTTTGTTTTGATGTTGGCATTGGTTTATTATTACCAATTTCTTTATTGACAGAACTATCATTCGCAATATGTTCTTTCGATGTGGTTGTTGACGGAAGTTTAATCGCTTCTTTATCTGTGCCCGAAACATTCTTCAACTGCCCGTTTACAAGCGCTTTATTTGTAGTTGGGGTGTTTTTTGATACAGTTCCTACAGTCTTGTTTGAGCCAGCATGTTTTGCTTTTTCTTTTATATTTTCTGTGCTGTTTTTAGTATGTGTCGAATTTTCATTCACTGTGTCCTTATTTGCAGGACTTGCTGTTGAGGATGTTTCATGTTTACCATTTCCGTTACCATTTACTTTCCCATTTTTCAGTTCAATTTCTGTTAAATTCTTGTCACAAATATGTCCGGTAAACCCGGGGTCACACACACAGTAAATTTCCGAGGAACACTCTTTGGTTTTACATGTTCCTTTAATGCAAAACCCATTCATTTGATTACAAATATCATTTTTCTTGCAAGATGTGGCAACTTCTGGTTTGGGCTTAACCGCAAGCAACGAAAAATCAAATGTAGGAATGTTTCGGATAATTTCTTCCGGTTTGCTAGTAGTAGTTGAAGAATTAGCTGATGGTTTGGTTGCTGATGTTGAAGAAGATATTGTTGTCTTAGAGCTTCCATCTGTCGTCTTCGATAAAGAAGCAGTAGACCCTTGTTCAATTTTTGCAACAGTTGCTACAACTGACAATAACATAATAATGCCAAACAGTTTAACACACAGTTTCAAAATCACTAACGATGCGTTCCCTATCATTTTATGGCAGATGGTAAATATTCTTGGATGTATGTCTGGAAGCTATCTGAAAGAAGAGAATATTAACACATTCTTTATTGAAATCTAATTTGATAACGGGTAAGGCATTTACTTTTAAGCGTCTTATATCTCCGAAACCTCACAGCAGAAAAAAATTGAAACTTAAACTAGGTGACCCAGGGGCTAATAAAAGTGATACTGCAACAGAAACAATGTTTAGTTTTAAATTAATTGGACCGACAAATGATATATTTATTACGGAACGAAGAAATTTTTCTATTCTCGTCTATTCTCGCAATGATTCTCGTATAAATCTTTCATCTCATATTTGAGTTTCTACCTAACACAATATTACGCAGTTGGATAATGATATTGTCATTAATTGAGTTATTTCACATGGTCCTTGTTATTTATAATTATCCGCAGGCGTGTTAGCCAAAAACCGTAGGAAAAGAACAATAAATTTGTCTGGTGACATCACGGTATTCATCATATTTTTATAGCAAATACTGCACCAGTGCATCGACGTTTAACAGAACTTTAAAAAGAGCGAGTAGTTATGCCATATAAATTATGGTATTTCTAGATATCCTGTTTTTGCAAGAACAGCAAAGATTTGTAGAATATAATGTCAACAAGCATCAGTATATAATTATATCGAAATATCAGCTGGCATACAGGTTTTATAAGACAAACAACTTTGAAATCTTCCATTTTAAAACCTACATTGGGCGTATTTCAAAACTTGATTTAAACAATTTGACAACATGACTTTCCGCTAATAAAACAGTCAAAATATGCAAATATATAATGATTGATATGACAAAATGTTGACAAAATTTAAATTACACTAGCTGAATAAAGACTCGTAAAATAATTTAAGGTGTCATTCTTAGTTTTTTGTGAAAATTACTTTCTTGTAAATTAAGTAAGCAATATTTTAAAATGTAGGTTTGAAATAGATCAACGTGGTACAGTTAAAAGTTTTTTGACCCCAAGATTGTTATATGAAGAAAGTAAACAAATATTTGTATATGCTTTGTGTAATTTTTAACTTGACATTACAATAATGATTGCTTAAATGTGAATGCCTTCATTAACAACACGTGGGTAAATGTTGCTTCGCTTTTAACTTTATTTTAATTTGAATTCTATATAAACTGTCTTCTAGACTGTTTTAAATAGAATCATTTGCCAGGACGCTATAAGATTCGCCTTCACGAATGTTTGCACAATACAACAAATTCGTACAATATTGTGAAATGTCCTACATATTGGTGATTTCATATGGAAATTTAGACCGTAATTCAAATCATTGGACTGATCATCCTAAATTATACAGATTCTGACGTATTAAAACTTATCAACCAACGAATTCCGCAAGTCACTATGGGAGGCATCAATAATCGGACTTTGAAGGGAGAGAATAAATATTTTTGCCTGTGTATTTTTATTTAGAGAAATGTTGTTAAAACAGGAGTGTGGGCGTGAAATTACTTGACAAATTAGCTGTTAGCGGCGGAAGCGACAGGCAATGTCCTCTGTATATAGTCGTACCAGTCTACAGTTCTTATGTACATGCATGTTTCTACCAGATGTAAAAAATATTTATAATGTTCTATACATCTTTATAGTATGTCTGTTTTCTTTTCTAGATGTATATTTGTTAATTATAGGCCGTATTGTCATATGTGATAACATAAATCGAGTTTTGAAATACATGTACAATTTCAAAGTCAAGGTAAGGCATGTTAATTACATAAGTTTAACACTGTCTTCTTTGTCTTACATGTCCTAGACACGGTGACAGTTATGTGAAAATTGCATACAATTAATATGAACGCTTTAAGGACACACATGCTTACCGTACAATTTTATGATTAAAGTAAAATGTCATTGTTTCTTTCTATTCCAGATCATTTTAATTGACAGAAAGGTCAAAATTTTACCAAATATAGGGCGTTCTTAATTGAAAACATTTCAGATATTTATCAAAGCACATTCAGGACACATGTGTTCTATATTAATTAAATTACTTCACTTGCCTTTGATGATATTATAAGACGTCAGATCTATTGTCAATTAAAATATGTTTTATAGCCACAGATTATAAGATCAAATGCAAACTATATTTTGCTATTAAATAAGTCGGTGTTTCATGCGTGTAAACGATTGTTCCGAATTTTTACAGTGCATCAATACTTGATAAAATACCATCGTTTTTTGTTTTTGTTTGACATGCCACGTGATTAAAATGCGGTGAACGCTTGATCATTCGTAGTTTGTGGTGATCCATGTATCTTTAATACGATTTCTTATTATCTATTTCAATGACACAATGGTATCTGAAGTAAACATTGTCATTGCAAACAAGCTCACCCACATCACTTCTTTCAAGAGTAAAAAGTACATTTTTCTATGTAGTAAGGTCATGGCAATATAAAACGATTGTCGACCATTTGTTAAAAAGCTTAATTTTCAGATATTACTCATTACGAATATAATTAATTAATACATACCGACCACAATCAAAATGAATATACTTTGCAGAAGTAACAGTTCAATAAATCACATAATCGTTCCTGGAATAGGTCAAGTTCAACTTCCAAGAATGTATCCGAAAATATATCAACACCTCGGTCGCCATTGTTTCATGTTTACCTTGTGAACATTAATTGTTTCTTATTCCGCAACGGCAATAAGGACGTAAGTTTATATTACACATCACCATAACAAGTGCATATATATGTTCGGTGTAACTGGACGTCTCAAAACATTATGTTCGTGTAAAGTCATCAATCATCTTGTTTTCTTTTCTCTGGTTGTTATAACAAATGACACGAGCGATTATTAAGACAAGCCTTTGTTGTAAATAGTTTTAACGTGACGTTATGTACGTAACAATATTAAACGTTTAAAGGGGAGATAACTTGTACGAAATAAAAGAAAATGTGTTTACTTCCCTTCAAAAAAGCAACCGTCACAACTTTGTAACAACTATAACATTGCTACTTGTATATTGTAATTAAGCCGTTTGTTAGTTTATTTATTTATTTATTTATTGAATTAGTTAATTGTTGAGACCTGCATGTTAAAGAAAGATACACGTATATCTAATTATCATAAATAACAAAGAAAAATTATTCTGTGTCCCAAGTTTTATTTCAGCAAATCGTCAAAATAGACTGGTTTGATTTTGGGAAAATGTTCATCCTAACGGCATTTTTTAGTACAAGCAGGTAGTTGGGCTTACTTACCTATTTTGAGTACGCTGAATTCATTTTTTGCTCTACCAAGGCTGTATTTTTAGTCCTTGACCTTTAAAAATCAATTTCAAAATGGCCGCCATTGATTTTTTTAATTTTACTTTAATTCTCCCATGGGCGAGATATATACACATTTTGTGGCATTTTAATTTAAGGCTTTGTTAATTTTAGTCTACTGAAGTGTGGACGAGAAGAATAGATGCAAAAACAATAAAATTTATTGCGGCAGCCATCTTGGATTTCAAAATGGCGGACAATTTCTTATGTTTTATGCACTGTATTATAATTAAAGTAAACAGGCACAATAAGGCATTTTACTAGGCATGCTTTTTTTATTAGAAGTGCAGTGATACTAATTAATTAAGACTTCCAAGCGAAGACTTTGAAAAAACATCCATTAAAACTACAAACCTAATGGTGCAAAAAGGTCACAATTTATACCCTAATACAACGTAATGAGAGTCATATTTGCGTTCACTTTTGTCATTTAGATGTTTTTTATACTTCTAAGAATACAATGCATGTTCTTTAAATTATTGCGATGTCGTCCTGAGAGAAGACCTGCTCAAATATCTGTCCGTCTGTCTATCTGTCCGAGCGTCCTCTTGTGTCAGTTAGGGGTATTTGCGATCACAATTTGGCTTTTAGATTAATTCCGTATACCCCTGACCTATAGGATGAATCATTGATTATGGGAGGCAAAAGGCTGCTTTTGGGGTAAGAATCAAACATGTGATAACAGACATCTTCACAAATCTCCCTGTAAGAGCTTGTCCCTGTCAGTTCGTTTTTAATCCCGTCCATATCTGTCATTTTTGGATAGATTTTGAAATAAATTGCATTAATGTGTGGCACCAGGTGTGAAGCTCAACTCCTCAAGTTAGACTTGAAAGTGCTTGAATAAAGATGTGCATTTAAGTATTCTGTCATTTAGATATGAATTTTGAAATAGTTAAGCATAAATATTCGGCCTATAACGGATTGAAAAATTATATACTTTATATTATTACTTAATCTTCAAACAGGGATACCATGAAAATTGTTTAATTATTGCTTATGTCAATGTCAATTGCGCAAGAACATGTACTGAGACGTGTAATGCTTGAGAGCCATTTCAACAGTCCAAAGATCAGGGTCATGTCTATCAAGAAAGACAATTTTGTAAAAGTTCATAAGTGGGGAACCCGGTCAACATTTTTTCATGCACGACTTGATATTTAAAAAAAGTCTTAGTATTTCCAAAAGTAATATAGGAATCGCCATCCAGGCTAGCATTCGAAAAATATTTTTTTCATGAAATAGACTACTTTCCTGAATAATAGAGTTAAAGTTTCTTCTTGTAAGAGAAATATTCCATATGGTGTTTATCCCATAGAAGCCTCTACATACTAGTGCCGAGCTTCGTGCATGAGGATAGTATTTCATTTGCTTATATGTAACCCGACAAGAACATGGTGGTTGAGGCCCCTGTGTTAAGACTTGTTTCGTCTAATGTATTTTGTTATCATGTTAAATTATCTGTTTTGATTGGCCTAGAGCAGGCGGAGTTCGGGTAAAATTATTTGAATCTTGTTAATTGTATATGCCGCCGTCCTGGAACGACAATAAGTTTGCGCAAATGTGTAATTTGAAAAGGTCGTGTCATGCACGAGCAGCAAGCAGGGTTATGTCTACAGTTAAACTTCTGTATCATAAATCATGATATAAACGTAACAAGATGTTTGTGTCCGATCTATAACTTTCTCATTAATTGATGCATTTTGAAATAATTCATAAATAATAAGAATAAAATGCAGAAATATATGGCATATTGGGACAATGAGTCACATGTAAAACCCAGCTGATGATGTAAATCAAAGACCAAAATCATACTTTCCCTTCGAACAAAATATTTCCTTAAAGTCTCTAAAAAGTCATTCATGGATGAATTAAAAATCATTTATGGATAAATATGGCGCCTCTTTATAAGACGACATGTAGTTGACAAAAGTTCCAAGGTCACACTTGTATTTCAAATGTCATGATATGAGAGTGCATTTGTGACCATGTCCAGTCCATATATGTGTTATTCAGCGGGAGGTAAGAATAAATACGTGGTACTTTGAAACAATTTGTCTTGAGTGAGAAAAGAATTATCGCATAAAGTAAGATTTCAGACATTAAAGGTCATATTTCATTTCATATAAATATTTTGAAGGTCATGTCCGGTCATGAATTCTGTCATTCAATGGATGGATATTGGCGTAACTAGGCATACATTTGTGGCACATTAGGACTACTTGTAATGCTTAAACACTTAAGGTTGATAGCTAGATAGGTCAATTTAGAACATTGATGGTTGTGTCTATATCTTTGTCATTTATTCGTGGATGCTTTTTAAAATAATAAGAAATACTGATGATATAAATAAATGCTTCTTAATGTTTCTAATGTTTGTAAAACTTGTAAGACTACAGTGACCATGCCTTCAATGTATAAAATGGAAAAGAAGATTAACAAAGAAAGGTGGCATTCAATAAACGCAGACTAAAATTACACTAAGAAAAACCAAAGTAATTTTATGGGGTGATAGTTGAAAAAATATGAGATAAAATGATATCAAAAATATGTTATATCATAATGGAATAAGATACTCATCAATTTCTTGAAAGATAGCCAAGAACAAAATAAGTATGAAGATTTGAATATATCTTAGTCACTTGAATGATTTTAAAACATGAGATTGAATAAGGTGCAGCGTCCTTGGCAAAGTGACATAATTATAATGTAGACGTTGATATTAACTAAGACAATGAATAAATACCAATGAATTAAGACAAAACGCAAAAATCTAGTATTTTCAGTTAAGTAAATAAAATTTAAAGACATAGGCTTCGACAGCATATATTTTACATAATTTAGTAGCAAAAATCCAAAATGCTCAATCAAGTCATTCTGTGTTAATAAAAAAAGCGTAAACAGCAGTGAATCGTCAATATATTAAGGTAGACCATGGGTAATGGGCACCATAAGGAACTGTAAAATTGACAACATAGGACAGTTATATGTCTTCAAGGTCACCTGTATGCAAAATTTAAATAAAATTTACCGTGTGGTTTATGAGTTATGTATATATTTCTGAACTAAGACTTTGCCATTAGAAGAGCTTATTTTCAGAAATGAGGAAACTGTAAATAATCTGTAATATCATCATTATAAAAACTGTTTTTCTATTGCTCATTGTAAAGAAACAAATAATGACATTCAGGTAAAACATTACACAAGCAAAATGTTTGTTTCTAAACAAAATGCTCTTAATATGTATAAAAATGTTACCCTACCCCACCCACTTTTAACACTAATTTTACCATTTCCCTATCTAAAAGGCCTTATTCAAAATATCCCTAAAATTTATCGAAATGAGGGACTGTTTTCAAAGTTTGCCTAAATTTTCTCAAAGGTATATTTGTTGATCATGCGAAATATAAAATACTTTTACCGTGTAGTTTTTATTTTATCGAACTTTGAAAATATCTGGTACATGTATCATATTTGCTATAAATTTTTGCATTATTTAGCAAAATAAATACCTAAAATAATTATATAATTGAAATCAAACTTTTTTTTCTTCCATAAGGGATCAGAGAAATACATAAATAATGTTAAAAAGAAAAAAAGAAAGAAAAAAAAGTTGCCCCCTCTGGGTTTTGAACCCACGCCCCTCAATTTCAATGTAGTTTACAAGCGATTCTAGCCTATTTGAATACTCTTCAAAGTGGAGGTAATGCATTACCCATGCAGAATTGGTATCAATTAACTGTCTAATCTTCTATGCATGTACTACAATGTACTATCATCAAATACCCGCGGTAGACCTATAAAGTTTTACTCTATATTATTAATTAAACTTAAGACAGTGCAAGCTCGTAGACTGTTTATCGTTCATGTTTGCGAGACGTTTTTTCAAGATGAAAGATAATAAAGATTAAAATGACTTTACCATTTATTTGAGTTTATTTCAATTAATAAATAGATGATCTGTTTTTAACCATGTGTATGCATGTTTAAAGTTTGATTGATAAATACGACCCTTTATAAAGTAGCTATATCAATACAACAATAAAAAGTATCGTATAAACACATCTGCGGATGTTTCTAAATTCCAAATCTCACAATTTCCCCATTTGATATATAAATTTTGCGTAGGCCGGTGCTAGGGTGCTTGGACGGTACTTTGCAATTTCCAGTAACGTCCATGTACAGACTCAATCTAATCGAGCCTAAAACGTTTTCAATTTTGCCGATTTGATCGCTGTTTTAGGATTCTGTTGTTGTTTTTTTTCTACTTGAAATCGGGTCGCACAAAAGATATTGTTTCAAAGACATGCGGGCTCAAAGACATAGTCGCTGACCTGTGAAGTTGACAGACAATTTTTAAAATATTTACATACTGACCTTGACTCTTGGCATTCAAATTATAAAATGATCTAGTGTCCATAAAGGTTTACACAAATGCTATTCTATCAAAATAAAGATAACTTAAACATCTAATGGTAAATTAAAATGTGCAGGTTTTATGTAAGACATTTTGGATCTCAGATACCTGATATAGATTAATTGTCCAAAAGAATGACCTGTGCTAGTTTGAAGTAATAATGTAAATTAAAGTGTGCAGTATACCTACACAGTGTGCACAATTCGACATGACATGTTGCTTATATCATTATTCAATTTTTGATACTCATTCCTACAGAAGGATCCATTTGTTTAAAAACACTTTACTTATATTTATTAAAAAGGTGTCCATTTTGAAATCAAAGATGGCCGGCATAGCAGTCAATGTGTAAAGCATGTATAATTATCAGCCAATTATTCCTTAAAGTAATTGAAACTTTATTCCATGTAGATTAACGGAAATACGATACGATATGTACCAGAAAAAATATTTTTTTAAGTAGATGGTAAAGGACAATGGCGGCCATTTTGATTTGACCTTTTGAAGGTCAAGGACTTCAAGTACAGCCGTGGTAGAGCAAAAAATGGATTCAGCGTACCCGAATTATGTAACAAAAGGGCCATGATGGCCCTGAGGTTGCCCACCTGTATATAGCCTCCCCACCCCCCCCCCAAACCCCCCCCCCCAACGTTGCAGGGCCAATTTTAACCCTAGGGCTTTTATTTGCACAAACTTGGTAGACACCCATAAGAAGATGTTTCATGCTAAACATCTTAGCTCTAGCTCATTGGGCTTTTTAAAAGAAGATTTTTTTTAAGTTTTTACTATACACATATAGTTAAAAACAATGACACCCCTGGGGCAGGGCCAGTTTTGACCCCAGGGCTTTTATTTGAACAAACTTTGTAGACACTAACTAGAAGATGTTTCATGCTTAATATCTAAACTCTAGCTATTTGGGTTTTTCAAAGAAGATTTTAATTTTTTGCTATACACATATAAGGAAAATCAATGACCCCCGGGGCGGGGCAAATTTTGACCCAAGGTCTTTCATTTGAACAAACTTTGTAGACACTCACTAAAAGATGTTTCGTGCTTAATATCTTAACTCTAGCGATTTGGGTTTTTTCAAAGAAGATTTTTTAAGTTTTTGCCATACACATATAAGGAAAATCAATGACCCCCGGGGCGGTGCCAATTTTGACCCCAGGGCTTTTATTTGAACAAACTTGGTAGACACCTATTAGAACATGTTTGATGCTTAATATCTTAGCCATAGCTCTTTGAGTTCTTTAAAAGAAGATTTTATAAGTTTTTACTATATGCATATAGGGAAAATCAATGACCCCCCGGGGCAGGGCCAATTTTGACCCCAGGGCTTTTATTTGAACAAACTTGGTAGACACTTATTAGAACATGTTTCATGCTAAATATCTTACCTCTAACTCTTTGGGTTCTTTAAAAGAAGATTTTTTAAGTTTTTACTATATGCATATAGGGAAAATCAATGACCCCCTGGGGCGGGGCCAATTTTGACCCCAGGGCTTTTATTTGAACAAACTTTGTAGACACTAACTAGAAAATGTTTCATGCTTAATATCTAAACTCTAGCTATTTGGGTTTTTTCAAAGAAGATTTTTTTAAGTTTTTGCTATACACATATAAGGAAAATCAATGACCCCCGGGGCGGGGCCAATTTTGACCCAAGAGCTTTTATTTGAACAAACTTTGTAGACACCCATTAGAACATGTTTCATGCTAAATATCTTAGCTCTAGCACTTTGGGTTCTTTAAAAGAAGATTTTTTAAGTTTTTACTATATGCATATAGGGAAAATCAATGACCCCCTGGGGCGGGGCCAATTTTGACCCCAGGGCTTTTATTTGAACAAACTTTGTAGACACTAACTAGAAAATGTTTCATGCTTAATATCTAAACTCTAGCTATTTGGGTTTTTTCAAAGAAGATTTTTTTAAGTTTTTGCTATACACATATAAGGAAAATCAATGACCCCCGGGGCAGGGCCAATTTTGACCCCAGGGCTTTTATTTGAACAAACTTTGTAGACACCCATTAGAACATGTTTCATGCTAAATATCTTAGCTCTAGCTCTTTGGGTTCTTTAAAAGAAGATTTTTTAAGTTTTTACTATATGCATATAGGGAAAATCAATGACCCCCTGGGGCGGGGCCAATTTTGACCCCAGGGCTTTTATTTGAACAAACTTGGTAGACACCCATTAGAAGATGTTTCATGCTAAATATCTTAGCTCTAGCACTTTGGGTTCTTTAAAAGAAGATTTTTTAAGTTTTTACTATATGCATATAGGGAAAATCAATGACCCCTGGGGCGGGGCCAATTTTGACCCCAGGGCTTTTATTTGAACAAACTTTGTAGACACTCACTAGAAGATGTTTCATGCTTAATATCTAAACTCTAGCTATATGGGTTTTTTCAAAGAAGATTTTTTAAGTTTTTGATATACACATATAAGGAAAATCAATGACCCCCGGGGCGGGGCCAATTTTGACCCCAGGGCTTTTATTTGAACAAACTTTGTAGACACCCATTAGACCATGTTTCATGCTAAATATCTTAGCTCTAGCTCTTTAGGTTCTTTAAAAGAAGATTTTTTAAGTTTTTACTATATGCATATAGGGAAAATCAATGACCCCCTGGGGCGGGGCCAATTTTGACCCCAGGGCTTTTATTTGAACAAACTTGGTAGACACTCACTAGAAGATGTTTCATGCCAAATATCTTAGCTCTAGCTTTTTGGGTTCTTTAAAAGAAGAATTTTTAAGTTTTTACTATATGCATATAGGGAAAATCAATGACCCCCTGGGGCGGGGCCAATTTTGACCCCAGGGCTTTTATTTGAACAAACTTGGTAGACACTCACTAGAAGATGTTTCATGCCAAATATCTAAGCTCTAGCTCTTAGGGTTGTTTAAAAGAAGATATTTAAAGATTTTTCACTCGGTTGCCATGGCAACCAGAGTTCTGCATGGAATTAAATTCTTTGAACAATTTTTAAAGGTGACCACCAAAGGAACATTCCTGTGAAGTTTGGATGAAATTGGCTCAGTGGTTTATGAGGAGATGTCATTTAAAGCAAAAGTTTACGGACGGACGCCGGACGCCGGACGGACGGACGGACGCCGGACGAAAAGCGATCACAAAAGCTCACCCTGTCACTTTGTGACAGGTGAGCTAAAAATACTTATAATCACTTAAAAAGCATAAAATAAAAAGAAAATTTATTTGTTTTACATATAAGATTGAAACATATTTCATTCGTGAACACCAGCTTTTATATTTTCACTCGTGGCTACGCCACTCGTGAAAATGTTGCATCTGGTGTTCACTCAGTGAAATTATATTTCAATCTTACATGCAAAACAAACAAATATCCTCTATGTAAATCAGAATTTACACCGCGTAAAATCGAACCGTACGCGCATCACCTCAGCGTATGTTGTTTACAACGTGGGGTACCCAACGGGGAAATTTTGTGTGTATATTACCCGTCTGGCTCGGTAATATCAATTTCTTTCGGTGATCAATAACCAATCAAAAAGGCGGAAAAAATCTGGATACATTTATACCCTTCCAGATTTTTTCCGCCTTTTTGATTGGATATTGATCACCCGAAAGAAATTGATATTTCCGAGCCAGACGGGTAATATACACATTAATATCCCCGTTGGGTACCCCTAGTTCTAAACAAGATGCGCTGAGGTGATGCGCGTACGGTTTGATTTAACGCGATGTAAATTCTGATTTACAAGCACTTTTTAACTGTCAAATGATAAATATTTACTAAAATAGAGTAATCATACATATTCTCATCAGTCTTGAAAACAAATATGACCTTGTGAAAGCTTGAAATTAATTCCAAAAAAGTGCGTTCAACAGACTACTCCTTTTCTCTTGTTTACATTCGTTAGGTTCGAAAGAATATACGTCATGTATTTATGTGACGTCATGAAGTGGTGAAGGGGTACCCTAAAGGGAATCTTATTTTGACGTTTCATTTGAAGTAGCAATGATTTATTTTAAAATCGTTTTAACTCAGGAGGGGAAGGGTAATAAAATTATTATTTTGGTTTTGGAGTGATATATGTGGATATATTACCTGCCAAGATAAAATATCACCCTCGCCTGACGGCTCGGGTGATATAAAATCTTGACAGGTAATATATCCACATATATCACTACAAAACCAAAATAACATATGATATCCAATCAAAAGGACGTTATATAAGATAATCGATAATCGTTATATATGATAATCGGTAAGCAAAGTATATAGATATTGTTAGATTACATAATTAAAATGTCCTTAACAGAACACTTTTTTATTTATTTTTTAAAAATAAGTTTGCATAAAAATATATGGACACAGAACTTACACAATGATTTTATCTTTATAAGTTCATCTTTTGAGGTAAGTTTGATGAAAGTTTGACATTTTGATTTGACATTCAAGGGTGACCTTGACCTTCAGCCAACACAGAGTAACATGGGTTCTGCACATCACCTTGTTCATGTTATTTAAGCCAAGTTTCTCAGATTTCTACACTTTGTGAACTTTTGATTCTTTCCTGTAAGGAAACTATTTTGCTGGCTTATGAAACATTAGGCTCTACTACTCAAATGCCAGTTCACTTAGCTTTAAATAATCAGCAGAGGACACTTGAGGTATCTTCAATCAGTAAAGCTAGAAAGTTGCCATATGACATACCTTTACAGAGTTTGTTGAACATAAAACTAAAAATAAACATACATGTATAACAACCACTTCAGCACAGTCATCTCATTGAAAAACTGCTGCTGTGTTTTTCTCGGCAACATTAATCAATAAAATAAATGTATGTGGCCTTTGTGCTATTTTACTTAAACATGTCGTAGAAAAACACCATGTTTTATCTAAATCACATAATATACATGTATATATATAGATAAATAAGACAATTCTACAGTCAAGAATTTATAAAAATTTATTTAGACTAAAGTTTCATAAAAACGATTTCAGGTGACAAAAATTCAAAATTCAGAGTCAATGCTAAAAAACTGCTTTTTAACCTGAAAACAAATGTGTTGCTTGAAACAATTTTCTCTTTTTCATGGTTATCACATGATAGGAACATTATAATAGTATCAGTAATAACACTATACACCATTTTATCACACACCCGTGCCGATTTTGCGACTCCGTAAATATGGTATTACACGGCCGTGCATATATTTTGATGTGACGTCATTAGCGTTATACAAACATAGTGTAAAGACGCGCTAAATGTCAGCGTTATACTATAGGCGCGTCAATGAAAAATGACTCCTATTTCACTTTAAATGGTCTTTATTTTGGGTATGTGATAAATAGAATATTAAATTAGTGTAAGTTCATTACTGAATTTATTGCACTCGTTGGATAAAATAATATTATGCTCGCCAGAGGCTCGCATAATATAATTTTATTCAACTCGTGCAATAAATTCAGTATTGAACTTACACTCACTCAATATCCTCTATATACTAAACTATCAATCCATCTGAATTGAATACATCTAGCCATGTAGCAATACTTTCATCTCGAATTTACTTTAAAAACCTGTTAAGCTTTAAAAATGCTAACATTTTTTTTTTCAAAAACATGTTTTGTGTCTTGTTACAGTTTCCAAAACACTTTTTATCTGCCTATGCCTTAGCCATGTTGCATTTTGGCAATTATTACACGTATACAGATTTAGTATTTTGTATGGAAGTCAAGATACTTCATTGTTTACATTGTTCTACTTTTATCACACATTGTCTCACATTCAGCGCTATTTTCTCCGGGTGTTAAGAATCTGACAGATTCTAAATCTATCATTACATTATAAAACACATGTTTGCTCTTGCTACAGAAAGAAGAAAAAATGTATTAATTTCTGAGGCATTATGTGCCTTTAATTTCAATCACCACAAGGGAGATAATGCGCATGAGTTGTTCTTATAACATCACTTTGAGCTTCCAGTTTCTGCAGACAGAACATCAATGCTTCCTTCTTCAACTTAGAATACTGTAGTGTCTTGTGAAGCTCATCCAATACATGTAAATAATGACATCCCTTCTCACAATCTATAAATAATATATAAAATATCAACTTTTATTATAATGTTCTACAAAATATTAAACATAAAATTCCTTTTTATAGACATAAAATTTAAGTAAAGTTTAAATAAAGATCCTGTCTTATTTTCAGGAATGATATAGCTTATGCAAGTTAAAACTTTTTAAGACACCTCCTAACAGTAGGGCTGTCACTGGATACATCATCAATATTCAACAATCAATGCAATATTGATTCACAATTTAGAATATTGATACAATTTAAAACCCATTTCTTCATATTTAGAGAAAATATCTTCTTATAATGTGTAAAAGTAAAAGGCCACTTTTCTTTCCTTGTTTGAAAACTGGATACAAGAGGTCTGTAAAATATAGTAATTACATGTTTTCTTCAGAGAAAGAAAAGACCACCATATTTTACCGGACCCGGATATTCAAATAGTTTTTTTACTGTAAAAGCCATTCAATTCCATATATTGATATATCGTCAATAAAAAAATTTCTGTCAACAGTCAATAAACCTTTATATTTCTGCTCACATAATAGTATGATTGTTCATGAAAATATGTATTATAGTACAATATGTGATTATGTATTTATTTTTTCTTTTGATTTTTCTTCTGGTAATAATTAAAATACATAATACATAACTTGATGATTTGAAAGTAAAGGTTTAGCAAGTACATTCACGTTAATTTTGTTTATTTTTCATGGTTACCGCAATTAATCACGTTTATGTGTTTTCATGATAATTCTTTTGATAATGGATCAAGATTGAAAAGGTTGCAGTTATATAGCCCATCTATTTATTTTGCAACTGTAAAAATATTGTGTACCTAAATTATTGTATTTATGCAGCCCATTAAGGAACCGATTTATGAGTATTGACAATTGTTAGAGGACTGTGTGTGCAAATAAAATGTGGTTTACGAAGGCAAGATATATATATCAGCACATGACTTAATTAAAGTAGCATGTTTCCAGATTCATGCTTAATTTCATGAAAATTTTGAAATAACGGATATTGAATGAGTGTTTGTTTATTACTTAATCAAAGCCATGGCATATGTGATACAATATTGTGTAATGAACAAAGGAAGTAATTTACTCATTGTAAGCAACACCTACAATCCATGTAAACTACCAAAAAGAGGTCAAAATATGCCAAAAAATGTACTGTTATAATGATTATATGTACTAATTATTAAATTAACCATTATTGGACATTAAATTTTTATTAGTTGAACATCATTTATAAGAAGAAATGACATGCAACCATAACTTTTGTTTGTTTTCATCTAAAAATTTTCTATCACATGTTAGCCATGTTCCTGGTCTGTGATTTATTAAGATTCAAGTAACAATCTAGATTCTGTTAAAATATTTCTGTACAGAAGCCTTCAACTAATTGTATTTTGTAGATATTGACACGTTATTATTTTGTATAACTGTAAAAAAACAATGAACTATTGCTTGACAATATTGACCTGAGACTTAATAATTTTCATGAGCTTTTTCGTTAGTGTCTGTAATTTATCATGAATTACCAACTGAACAATTTTTATTGATAGTATACATTATGGTGCTTGATACTTTACTTCAATGGCCCAGTGGTATTACACATGTAGTATGGTGGCAAAGTAATCATAAAGTTGCTAGTTTAATCTTTGACAAACTATCTTGCTCAACTATTTTATGTTTGTTTAAATTATATGCAGCATTAGTGGAACTTGGAAGAATCGTTTGTTTAATTTCTGGTATATATTGTTGTTTTTTTTGTTTTTTTTATTGTAATTTCAACTTTGATATATACATGTAAATTTGATTTTACATAATTTCAATATGTAAAATCAGAAAATGGGTGATTGGCATGCAAAAACCATCAAATTTCTTGAAACATAATAAAAAAGAAAATATAATAAAATAATGGTTCATTCAAATCTACATCCTTCAGTCTTAACTTAAGGCCAGTAAGACAAGTATTTTATTGGCAATAAGTTATACAATATACATCAACCATATATACCGTTACCCCATACTTAATAATCTGTAAGATTTACATTGGATTTCTATAATTACCGACAAAAAGTCACAGAATATTTAATTGTTTCAGGTCAATATTGCCAAACAATACCATTAGCTTTTGTACATACATAAAGGAAAAGATAATTGTTACTCAATAAAACTTACATTTAGACTTTGATGTGTCTGTTACAAGTATTTTCATAATATTTCTCTCTAGCTTTGATTTGTGAAGCAAAACCTGTACAAAATAAAAAATATTTCTGTTTTACTTGACAATCTAACAAAGTGTAACAAAAACAGGAGCTGTGAGTAGGACAGCAGACTCAACTATTCTCAGTGCTTAATAGTAAAACAAGAGCCCTGATAACGAAGTTAGATACCAATTTGCACGAAAAAAACTTAACCAAAATATGACAGGGACACCAACGCTGACACCAACACTGACATCCACACATAATGGATACAACAGCTCTCCCAAATCTTCAAATTCTCTATCTTTATAACACCTTCAATCATTGCATCACCCGCAATCACTGTATTACATGCAATCATTGTATCACCCTCAACATTTGTATTATTAGTTTATTTAAGTCTCATCCATTACATGTACATATAATACAAATATATAAAACAAACATTTGTACCACCCTCAGTCTTTGTATCACCATTAGCCTTTTTAAACCCTTAATATTTGAACCACCCTTAATCTTTGTTACACCCTCAATCTTTGTATAATCATCAGTCTTTGTTAACACACTTAATATCTTTACCTTTATCAATCTTTGTATCATACTCAATCTTTGCATTACCCTTCATCTTTGTATCACCTTTGTACCTTGTATCACTTTCAAAGCTTGTATCACCTTCAAAGCTTGTATCACCCTTAATATTTGCATCACCCTCAATCTTTGCATCACATACAATCTTTGTTAACACCCTTAATATTTGTACCACAATCAATCTTCGTATCATCTTCAATCTTTGCAACATGCTGTGTCTTTACATCACCCTTAATCTTTGTAACACTCTTAATCTTTGTAACACCTTTCATAATGCAAGTATAAACAAACTTCAATCTTTGCATTAATCTTTGCATCAACCTTAAGCCTTTCGCTGCCAGAGGGTTATTGTTTTATTGATTACCTATTTGCCAGAGGGTTTTCTAAGAAATTACTATATCATTAATTAATTTTATTATTATTATTTGTTATTAGTATTATAATAATTATATATGTTTCCAAATCTGTGAGTATAATAATAATTATTGTCGATGGTATAATTTTCTTTATATTTATTATTATTTTTATCATTGTTATTATTAATTTATTATTATACAGTCGACTCTCGTTATCTCGAAGTCATCGGGACCGTCCAAAAATATCGAGATAACGAAATGTCGAGATAAACATATTAGGGTTTGAATAAGGCAGACACTGATTTTTACAAAAGACATGTGCATACCTTATGTCAAATAAACTATGATATCCCCATGTCTTGTTTTCATAGGCCTAGTCAATATTTAACAAAGTAACATTAGCGGATGTTTACCAGAGAAAACACGGGTTTGTATGATAAAAACACATAGTGAGGTTTACTCAGTAATACACCAATATAGTGAAAACTTTTTTTTCAGGGTGGTTGAATCGGATATCCTCCGGTCTTTCTCGATGTTGTTCGACCGCTGATTGATTTGGTGGTGATGTTGTGAAACAATATTGCAACGAAAGCGTTTCTATACTTTCACTATTTCATTTACATTTAAAGTCATAATGAAATGATACAGTGTCTGAATATTTATAAGAAAACGTAAAATTCACTCATTTTGGGCATAAGTCAATCAACACGCTAAATAGATTAACTTTTATAAAAACAGCTAAACATGTTACAAACATAATCATCATTATGACACGCGCTATTGTGCAATTGTAGTCTAGTTTGTGTTTTTCACACGTCTGAAGGGAACAGACGAAAGAAAACTATTAGTTGAGATAAACAAAGGATAATAGTGTGAAAATAACTGTTGGGGCTGAAATTGTACATCGAGATACTGAAAATATCGAAATAAAAATATCGAGATAAACAAATATTTCCAATATAGATAAAGAAGGAAGAAAATCGGGACTTTCAAAATTTCATCGAGATAACGAAATATCGAGAAAAGCGATGTCGAGATAACGATAGTTGACTGTAACTATTATTATTATAGAAACTGCTAAAGCCGTCCATATGGCAAATACGCCAAAAATAACAGGGACGGCATAAGCCGTCCCTATGGCCGTGAAAGGGTTAATCTTTGGATAACCCTGTAATCTTTGCATTACTACACTTTCAATTGTTGTATCATCTTTGGCTCTATTGAACTAAAATATAATGCACCAGTCAAATGTGACCCCTGTCTCATTATCTCATTCTCACCAGGAAAGGTACATATATAATAAAACAAAGCATAAGAAAACATTATGTTTTACCTCAAACAACATCCTTCTATCATTCCTTCTGGTCACATGACCATCGTCCTCCAATAGACACAGAACTTCAAACAGTAATGAATGCTGTTTCTCTATACTGGCACCCTAAAAAAATATATATCCATAATTTTAAATCTTAAACAGAATTTCATCTTAATTTCTAAAGATAGAATACAAAAAATATATTCTTTGAAAAATTGCTAATAATGGTCAAAAACTTTTCCCTCTTTTTCTTAAAAGGGAATCTGTGAGGGTCTTATCAATCACTTTTAAAAGATTTACATCGACCTTTCCAAAATTAAACTATTGCCCAAAATTTTAATATGCGTGATCTGCAAACCATACAAACTGATTTATTTTTTTTTTTGATGTAGGGTTTTTTAACCCCCCCCAAAAACCCGAGAGGGGCCAAAAAGGGGGGCTTGTAAAACTTTACTGGTTTAAGGTCCCTCCATGCCCCTCCCTGCATTTTTAAACCAACCCAAAAGCATTTTAAATAGAAACCCCCGACATTCTGTAAGTTTTTGGATAGTTCCCTTTTCCTTTTGAAAAAAATTCGAAGTTCCCTGCAGGGAATTTTAACCCCCCACCCAAAAAGGAAAACAGTTTGGTTTGAAGTCAATGACCTTAACCCCTTTGCCACGGAATCACCTAAAATTGACTTGTATTTTATGTTTCACCTGTGTAAAAATATTATAACAATCTATTGCCTCATCTCAATCCTAACTCTACTTATGGCCTGGTATCATTTTTCTGTTTTAAGTAACAGTGGCCTTGACCCAGGAGGCCTAAATGCAATCTGACCTGAAGTCTCCATATAAGCTTGCTATATACAAAAGCTTGATTACAACATCTCAATCCTTAACTTTAGTTATTGTCCAGGAATAAGTTTTATATTTTCATTTACAATGACAAACACCTTGGGAGACTTGAGACAAACCCAATAAAGGTCTTCACATAAGCTTGGTATATACACGGTTACCTCATTCTTAAACTGCCCTACAAGCTCACTCCTGTATTATACTCCCTAAAAACTTTGAGTGGATATAAAAGTACAAGATAAGAAAATATCATAACTATTACTGTGTCAATTATTTCCTATATTATAGTTCTACTGGTAGTGAACAAATATTAAGGAATTAAAATCATGTGAAAAGTATTCATTATCTTTGTCAACCAAATATCTCAGACATTGTCATTGTAATAAAGCATACTAGGCATAAGGATACCATGCCATTATAAAAGCTCATCCTTATTACTATTCAAAGGAGCTAAAAAAATAACATAGTATTGATTATAAACATTTACAATTCAATAATTCATCTCATTCATAGAGCAGATTAATTAGAAAACTTCTGATGTTGTTGATATACTTTTTTCAAATTTTTCAAAAATTCCTTAATCAGTTTGATTTTACGCCTTTTCCCAACAATATTTCAGTCATATAGGCAGATAGTTTCCTAACCATTGTTCCTGGAGTAATCAGTTTGAAAATACGTTTAAAAATACAATGTTGAATGTTTTTTTTCATACAGTTTTCCTGGAATGGTTAGAGAAACATGTTAACTAACCATGAATCTATTTGCTTTGTTGTGTACTTATCACTTGTTCATTTGTTTCTTCTTACAAAAATATTGTACAATTCTAAATGTGAAATTGTTCTGAAAGAGGTTAGCCATGCATACACATTCCTAACAGTTGTTACTATTTCATAAATGTTGGGGAAACAAAACTTGCTACAGTTGCCCGCTGATAGTTTTAACAGGAGATAAAACATAATGATGTTGTAAACTGGTGTAATAAAACATGACAAAGGCGTATAAAAGCTGCTTAACTTTCGCAGTCACAGTGACACATATGGTACACTGGTGCCACCTAGTGGTGTACTATAGCTGTAATCTGATGAGAAGTGCCACCTAGTGGTAAACTATAGCTGTAATCTGATGAGAAGTGCCACCTAGTGGTGAACTATAGCTGTAATCTGATGAGAGGACAATCCTACAGCAGGTATCATTTTTTCTTTCCAATATAAGGCCAAACTATTGCATGATTATTTATGAACATTTTTATGTGACTATATAAAATATAACATTTCCAAGATTTTTTTAATATACATGTATCTGGAACATATCTCCAAGGTTTTTAAAATGTATCTGGAACATATTTCTAATGTTTTTTTAAATGTATCTGGAACATATTTCTAAGGTTTTTTAATGTATCTGGAACATTTTCCAAGGTTTTTTTAAATGTATCTGAAACATATTTTCAAGGTTTTTTAAACATATCTGGAACATATTATCACATTTGACAAACACATATGTAAGTAAAGTTAATTTCAGAATGAAATAGACCTGTTATGAGGATCAGCTCTTTCTGTCAATTCATGTCGGAGAAGTTCATGAGGATAATTGGGATGGATTGCTAGATACAAATGTTTTGCAAACAGAAAATGCTTACATTTTTTGTTTGGCATTTTTCATAATACTATGCAGGATTGTTAGAGAGACTAGGGGATTAACTCTATGAGAATAGGTAATTATTAATGGTAAGCTTTATACTGCCAGTATAGAGTTCATGCCAATTTGCACTTCTGGTACGTCTAACCAAACACTTTTATTATGTACTGTCCAATTTTATTATTTCCAAATATGAGAAGTTAAAATTCAATGAAATGTTACACCAGACAATTTAATTACCAAAATCATGCAAATTACTGGTTAAAATTAATAGTACCTATTTAGATCATTTGACTGTAGTGTAAAAACATTGCATGATCCTCCAAAATTGCTTCTTTAACAAAAATAGTTATCTATATGCTGAAAAGTGTGCAGCAAAATAGAAAACAAATTGTTTATACATAATGGCCTTAAATAGAAAATTCTGTATATTTCAGAAAATGTTCTTAGACCATTCAATATGTTATACAATAAAATCATACAAAAGAGTGATTCATCTAATAAGTAAAGTGAAATTACAAAAAATATGGAATTATTCTCACATAGGTATTTCTTATTTTGCTATCATTATTTAATATTAGTCTATTCTGATGGACTAATTTCAAGAAAATGTACCATTAGCATTATTGTATGAATGTAACCAGTGTAGAGGATTGATATTGCAATCTTTCATTTCTTTTTACAAAATAAATAAATAAATAAATAAATAAATAAATAAACAAACAAACAAACAAACAAACAAACAAAAAACAAACAAACAAATATAAATAAATAAATAAATAAATAAATAAATAAATAAATAAATTAATTAATTAATTAATTAAAACTTAATAAATAGACAGATACATAAAATTGTATTCAATTTTTCAATCAATTTATATTAAGGAAAATCATTAAATTTCAAAACAATTTTAAGTCCAACTAGAAAAGCTACTGAAGATTGTGGAAAGGACAACCAGGCTGTTAGCACATCAGGTGATGTAGTCATGGTAACAGGAGGGTCAGGATTTCTAGGACAACATATAGTTAACTTGTTACAAACCAAGGCAGATCATGTGAGAGAGATAAGAGTGTTGGATCTCAAACCATACAAAACTGCTATGTAATATATGTTTCGATTCTGATTATAATGATAAAACTTGACTAATAACAAATAGTAGAAGAAATGGCCTAGTGACTAAGATGTCTGCCTGTCAGCCATAGGGTCATGGGTTTTTTGTTTTCTTATATTGACACCAGTACTTAGTTATTTTCAGGGAAATGAACACAAACAGTGGTTTCAATCAACGTTAAAGCTAAAATAATTTTGTGGTTAAACTAAAAATAACAAACAGAATAAATCCAATCATCAGCATGTGTTATGAAATCCAGTTGTTTTTGATATAATCAATGTTCTTTAATTAAATCCTCGTTTTTTTTCATGATTTTAATCAGTTTTAAAAAATGTGAAATGCCTACCAGTATAGTACATTGAATGTAAGCTTTAGTAGGATAAACTGAAGCCTATCATGTTTATACATAAGCAACAAAACTGAAAAGGTTATCAATAAAGTAGGATAATCAGCTATCCTATCTACCTTAAATACATTTCATACATGATTATAGGAACTCAAATCTTGCCCAGTCATGAGCTATATCATATTCTATATAACACTTAAATTCTATCAAGATATTTTATATTATAAACAGGTGACCATGACAGTAAGGTGATATTGTCAACTGTAGGATGTGTCACTGATTCCAATATTGTATTGTAACGCATTTTACAAGTGTAGATACTGTCTACCATATAGCAGGAAAGATTAGCTACGGAACATTCCCTGATATCACCGGGAATGCATCACTATCAATGTAGAAGGTAGAATCATTTTATTTCAAATTATATTTGTCCTAGCTACATAGTCATGAAGTTTTGTTTATAGAAAATTGCCCTTTTTTAAATTATCAAGTTTTTGATTACTGAACTTTATCTATAATTATGGAGACAAAATTTATGCCTATATCAATGCTATGGAACTGATATCAGTATCTAGTTAATAATTTAGGAGTAAACTTTTCACTAATAAAATTAATATGAGGGGAAATGAACGTTTGTTACAGAATAAAAATGACTAAACAATACAAAACCTTAATCTTTGAACATAATTATATTTTCCAACATATACTATCTACTGAAAAAGTATAATTTTGTAATGTTTTCATTCATATTTGTGTAAGGAACATCAAACCTTATCCAAAGCTTTGTCTTTCTCAATGATGTCAAAAGGTTAATTTACTGCAGTTACAGTGGATGTTGTCATTGGATACGATGAGCATCATAGATGGGAAATGAAGCTAATACAGCGCCACCTTAGAGAATTTTTATTTCCAGGTTATCCTGAGACCAAGTATTAAAGCAGAATGTCTTGTTCTGAAAGCTAATGGTCTTCAAACGAAAAATGGTAACTATGCTTAATACAATATATTTGAAAAGGAAGTTTGGCCAAATTAAAATTCTTTTTTTAGAATTGGACTTTTTTTTATTTCACCCATTGCATCTACAATGTACATTGTATATCTAGTTTTTAATTGGAAGAAACTTACCAGTCTATTTATTTTCCCTTTTCTGTTAATTTAAAACTTTAA